TTTGTTTATTACTCTGACACCAACATATTAATTTTTTCTTATCGCAATTAAAAAAAATCAAGTGTTAATACACTTTACTCCAACGGTAATATTATTTGCTTTCCTATCAGTAAAAAACAAATCAGAAAAAACACTTCGAAACGTGTTACCGATATTTGAATAGTGCTTGACACGAATCAAAACACAATAGAGTACAAAAACAACGGAAATGATAATTGATAAAACCTATTTTTTTCATTAGGTAACCGATGTTGGGGCCAGAATTTTCACTTCAAAGTGGAAGAATTATAAAATCATACATATCCTAGTTCTGATGCAACACATGAGGGTCCACAAAACACTTTAGTAAGGTAAAATCGATCAAGTTACATATTTTAAATTACAAAATATATTCTGTTCATAATAATAAGTGATTAATGTGTTGTTGGCACGTGAAGAAGGAAAGCGTTTCCAGAGTTCAAGTCACAAGTTCAACAGTTCGATCCAGGAAAATAAAAATATAATATATTAGCTAACGCAATGACGAGTTAACTCTATTAGACTTATTGCAGTAAAAAGATAAATAGATTGTTATATAATTCATTAATTTTGGACTATAAAAAAAAATTGTACATAAAGTTAATTCTGGTAAATTACTATTAGTTTTTATTTTCCATAACAACGCATAATAACTGATGATATAATTTGTTTACAATAGATAAACTGAACAATAGATAACAATGTATAGTTTAAATGATCAGATAAAATTTAAATTATTCACTTGTAAAATATATTAAATTATTTAATTAAATAATTAGGCTAATTTCAGTCTAAAATTTTAATTTTCCCTAATAGACCCCAGATACAGATTTCTACTTCTTAATCTGTGGATAAGCGTTAATCGCAGTCACACTTTCAATACATATTTAAACAAGAACTAGAGGAGTTACGCAAACTGAGTCGCCAATATAAAAATTAAACTAGAATTTCAATACTAAATATTATACGTGTCATTTCAAGTAGGTAGTCTTATTCAAGTAATAACAAAATTAATATTTTATTAAAACGTGCTCTATATTATAATATACATAACAGTGCAATGATAATGTAACTATGTCCTCTGAATCTAATGTCGAATGACGAATCCCTCATTTTTTCCAAGCTATTCACAAAAAGATCAGTTTAAAACTCTAAAAAGTGGATCATTAGTTTCAACCTGTTTTTAACCTTCCTGTAGACTGTGTTTTTTCACCAAAAGGTCTAATTCCTGAGCACGCGTCACATGTATTAAACAATTCATACACATGTTAAAAAAATATATATTTTTTTTTAAAGAAAAAAATTACAATATTGCCTGTGCCCTGTGCCAATACATGACAGTATGTAGGTATTGACGTTGTTCGCTTGTCGGTATAGTACTTAATTATACTTAAATACTTTAAACATATGCAACGCGAATTTATAAAGGCGCATACTTAAATAGGTACACCTTACACGATACGTACTGTTCCATACGTAATGTCATCGTGTGACAATGTAATATTGTACCTAGATAACATTTAGACAATATGTTAATTTTGTTATTTAGTACAATAATATGTATTACACTCGTATGTTTATGATAAATAATAAATGGTAGTCTATATAGTATACACTATCATTAATACGAACTATTGCGTAATTTTGTTACCTTGACTACATTGGAGTTTGTCACGTTATAAACTGGACCAATTAATATATAAAAAATAAACTAGCAAATAAAATACCGATACTCAAGTGAACGTTAATCACTCGTGTGTGTGAGGTTTTCAAAATAAGAATTTACATTTCTCTGAAGTATTGTCAGTAACCGCATGACAAAATATGTGGCCCCTCCCTCGAAAATCACTGAAAGTGGTTACCTATACTTTCCTACGTTATGCCTTGAACAAAATTAATACTGCAGTTTTTTATTAGGTAAATATCACTCCAAACATAGGTCGTAACTCGTAATACATATTAATATTGACGAGATAACACAACAATACAAATACGTCAGAAAATTCAATATTTCAGAGTAGACGTCATTTTCATTACCAAAAAAGAAAAATAACTTGTAAAATAACATAAGTTTATTGATAGCTCCGATTCACTACAAGTTATCACTAAGATTTGATACATGTATGATCTGTTGTTGTTTTTAGCTTAAACTAAACAACTACTGTGAGCGAGCCTGATTTTTTAAATGTTTTATTGTTCGTATGTTTTAACATACACCTAGATAGTATTAATACTTTACGAGATAAATTTAAATTTAGCTCTTACTTACACCAGACTAGAATTGATTTTGAAACAAATTTGTTCTCTCTCTTATTCCGAATTGTTTTAAGATAAACTGTAGAAAAATAGCAGACATGAGAATAAAAACACCTAAAAAACGTCAAACAGTTTCTAAGCATTACATCTATTGCTTAGAATGTGAAACAATTCCATATACGTATACTCGTTTAATTCCGTAATAGGTACCTAAGGATTAGTAATGTTTACATCTGTTGTAATTATGTTAATAAGTTTAAAACTACCCTATTAAAAATGCTGATTATGTGACATTATTTAATGAAATCAAAATAACGTGTCTTTGTTAAAAGTAAAAACCTAAATAATTTCACTAATTAGCATTTTTCATGGTTAAATTTTAATTGATCGATAAGAATACAAAAATTCATACCATAAATTATATTATATTATATCATGATATGTGCAACGCAGTTAACACAGCTAACTGATTCAAATAATTATAATAATTTTAAAAAAGACTGATAGGTCTAGAATAAGGTACTATTTAGATATACTATAACATAAGTGGAATAATACAAACTTCTATGGTAATTTTTGGTATCAGGTATGATGACGTAGGTGTTTAATGTTTATGAGATCAAAAGAAAACCCTAAATAAATATCATACATTTAAATTTTAACTGCCGATTTCTATTTTTTTAAACCTAAAATTAGCACAGAAAAAATGAAATTTCATCCGGTGAATAAGATATAAGCATATTAAGCAATTTTTCACTCGTATAGTTGCAATTTCACTGTTCACATTAGCATGCGGTTTGTGTAAGACCTTGTTTTCATAGTAGGTTTCGAACGGTCTAACACAAATAATAAAAAATTATAATATCTGTATATCCGATGTTTTTTTATTAATGACCTTCAGCGATACCGGTAATTATTTTATTTATCTATAATTACAATGCGACAAAACACATTATAGAACCTACACGAATTAAAGATGCTATTATGACATGCGGGAAATTTCTGAAAACGATTAACATTTCTTACTTACTTCTTCTTCGGGTTAATGTCTTTTTGTCTATTGATCACGACTAGGACCTATTTTTATTACCACAACGAAAACGTCTAATAATAGAGATTATTTTTCGGCAGTAATATTATCGTTTATCGCTATAAAAGCTCGTTGAAATCTTAAAAATAAAAAATAGACTACTTTTCCATAGCAATATCGTTTATTTGCTGGCGACATTAGTTTAGTTGAAATTACACAACTCATTCGATATGAGATTACGTTATTGTTGTATAGCAATAGATATACGACATCGTTAGCATTAGTTTTAAAAACTGACGGTCGTTAACTATAGACTAGTTTGATAAAAAAAAATTAATAATAACATAGGGCAACTGTTTTAAAAATAGTTTTCCTTCCACACCTAACCGGCCATCATCATTTTGACGCATCCAAAGGGAACGCGTGCCAAATTTGACAGACATCCGCACAGCCAAATTACATTCCCGACCTGAAACTACTGTTGACCAATTCTAGATACGACGAGATTGTTGAGTGCTACCGATTATTATTATTATTATTGTTGTTATCAGACCGCTTACAATTTAATAACATAACATTTGCCAAGAGCCAGAAGTGGCAAGGAGGAGGACAAATTATTACTTAGCTCGTTTTCAAACAATCATATATAAAGATTGTACGTTAATCAGTTCCTAATTGCCGATTATAGTAATTTATTAGTAAATTTTAAATAATTATCTAATATTTTAACATTGAATTCGATAAAAATACTATCAACCAAAATTTGAAGCATAGGTTACTATGCACAGGTGCTAACTGGTAATTACTACAGTAATTTAATATCGAATGCTATTATACTCGTACACCGGTGCACATGCGTGTACCTATTATTATATAACCATTACCGATTATAAAACGTATATTTATCTATTTGTTGACCCGATGTAGGAAATTTTTCGGGAAGCCGAAAGGGGAGTCGTCAGTAATACACAAACTTGAGGACCAGCAAGTGTTTGGTATTCACCCAAAAATATTAATTTTATAAGGTTTATTGATAACCCCAGTATACGAGTACTCAAAAACAACTTGTGTTGTACAAGTGGGTAGAAATATACGGGTTATTGTGGAATCTGATAGGTTAGTGTTGTGCAATTCGGATAGGTCCGTCAAAGAAGAGCTTGGAGGTTTCCCGCCTTTTACGGGACGCGCTTTGGGGTCGGTCGGTGACCTTCTGACGGCGGCGATCGTGAATTACCAGGCAACGTTCGAAATACGTGTTTTTTGAAATTGCCCATTACTCGTGTATTGTGGACAATACACGGTCGACTGATACCTCCTCCTGTCAGTGTGTTGCGGATCTTCGATGAGGAAAAATTCATATTCTCCCGTGACCTTGTATTTCAACGTTCGTCTTGCGGGGGTGGGGGCGTATAGGAAAACCGTAGCCGTGTCGTCGGTCACGTACGCCACTGCGACGATCACCAAGTCGGCTAGTCGCCGATCGGGTGGATTACACTAAAAAAAACCCGCACTAGGCTACGACCGTAACCCGCCGCCCTCACGACGACTACGGTGAGGGCCGGGAAACTGGGAAAGGTCGCCGCCGTGAGTGGCGTACGTGACCGACTGTACCGAGTCCATGGCCGGCACGCGCGTTGCACGTGCGAAAATTCGTCGGCGACGGGAAAAAACGTGTGTAAGCAAAACTGTCACTTACCCCAAGCACAGACGGTGGCAGCTAAAAGCGCTACCGAAACGACGGCGCGTCTTACATTGTGAACGCAGCACATGGTTTTGTCGGTAATTTTAAGTTAATAAAACAGAAGGAAAAAAAATTAGAGGAGAGGCAAAATAATTATCTAATAATTTTTGTTTTTTTGTTTTCTATACACAATACAAGATATTAAGTAACGGTAATTAACTGTACGGTAATAATATTAATAAACAAGGATAATAACACATCGGACGACGACGTGACATTTGAATATGCCGCGTGCGTATCACGCGCGCACTGTACTGACGTCTGACGACGACGACACCGGAGACGGGCACTGTCCACAGAGTCGGGTCAGCTGTCGGCCGTGTGCGAGAGCGTAGCGTTTTGCGTGTGGAGCGCGAGCGCGGCAATACGTTATTATCATCGATAGACGGTGCCGACTGACGTGCAGACTGCAGTTCACTGTTGCGACTTGCGCGCGGGTTTTTTTTCACAAGCACGTTACCTTGTTCTCTCCCCTTGCGGGCCTGCTCACACAGTACACACGCCACACGGTCAGCACTCTTCTATTGCTTAATGCCTTAATGGTTATTATCGCTATTACTTATTCGTTATAGTCGTTACAAGTACATTGCTAACTGCGGCAACTCCTAACTACCGGTGGGCTGTGACCGATAACGAAACACGTGACACTCGGCGACAGTCCGTTATACAACGTCAGTTTTTAACAAATATTTCTAGTTTAGTCGACATTTTTTGACAAGCTGTATTTGTTTAGAAGTTTCATCATCGACCATGATTTATGTTAGAATTTTCGCGGAGTTCACTTGACATTGGGATTCGCAAAGCAGTTCAACAAATTCATTCGGATTCCTTGTCTTAATGATAGTCGTCTAATCTAGCCGGCAAAGTCAACGGTGTAGATTGTTTACTTTCGATTTTACAACTAAACCAGTTAAAAGCATCTAATACAGGTATACCTAAATTTTAATTTTCAGGTAAACATTTATAATATGGTAGGTAATTAATCTTATAAAAACAGTGACATCCAAATTGAAAGGGAAAGTTAATGTATTTTAATAAAAAAATACCCAGGTTTATCAAAGCTTAAAACAATCATAAAACACATTTTGTATTAAGCAATAGATTAATTTTAAAATGTGTAAAATAGTAATTAATTTGCGGCTTAGTTAAAATTGATTGATTTCTCGATAAACTTTAAATGATGTGGCAACAATTAATAAAAGATAAGGATATAATTACTATGTTGATTACCAATATTAATTATGTTGCGTTATGATAACAGAATATCATTTCTTATCATTTATGTAAAAGTAAAAATATTTATGTTATTCAATTTTTGTTGCAGAAAAAACAATGTTTCTCATTAAAAATGTAGAAGAATTAAATGATTTATTTTTGAGAAATAGTGAAATGTATTTATTGTTAAATGAAAAAGACCGAAAAACATTTTATGATTTCACCAATACATTAAATAAATTTGGCAATTTAAAACCGTTATGGAGCTTTTTATTATTACAAGTAACGTATTTTAATAATTTAATTAATCAGTAAATCATTAATTACTGTTGTTTTTAGGAAAATAACTATTCTATTGAAATAACGTGGAGGTTGCATTCTCAACAAATTATAGATTTCGCTGAATTTATTTCACGGTTTGTTTATTTTAGTTTTTTATTCTGATAGTTATATCATAAAACGTTTTAATAGTTATGAAATAATTGTATTTCATTTTTTTTTAGTTATAAATGGGATCCAGACGAAATAATTACTACCCTATTGTCCCTTTCCGAATCAAAGGACGAGTTGCATCAAATCATATTAACAGATCTGTTCATTAGTCTATTACTTTTACTGTCCGGAGAACCTAACACTCATTTTAATAGTCATTTACGAATAATACAACAGTTTTTAATTCATGTGAGAAACTAATTTGTTTTGTATCAACAGTTTAAAAAACAAATATACACAACAATGCACAATCGGACTACCTTACTTTTGATTGATTTTTTTTTCTTCTTAAGTCTAGCTCTTTGATTATGAAAAATCCGGATGCTTGGATTTATTTGAAACGTGTAAAATGTTCTCCGCTTTGTATTAAATCGACAGCTAAACGGATGTTCAAAATAATGCTTAAAAATATGCTTGCAACAGATTTGAATTATTATTTGGATGTAGCGTATGAAGAATATAGAATGTACAAAACATCGGAATCAATTTATAGAATGCTTGAAATGGTAATATTATAACTAAAATAAATACAAAATTGTACAGTTTTTTTTATCACAGCATGTTAAGTTTCTAGATGTTAGACTTACTTGATGAAAACATAATATTCTCACTTATACAAAATGTTATTTTTGAAATGCCAAACAAAGCCAACTGGAAAATGATTTTGTCTCTTATAACGGTTTTTGTGAAAACAAAATCGCAACAATCTCACAAATTAAAATGTAAACATATATAATATGAGGAAATGTATGGATAGTTGCATTCTACTAAATTAATTTTTTATTTCAGTAAAATTTGAACATTTGCTCAATCATACTCTGTCTAAAAGTGAACTGAACGATGAATTTACGTTATGTAAAGCGACTCTGCTCGTATTTCGGCACTGTTGTCTCGATATTGGTCTTTGGTCCGAGTACCGTCGATGGTATAGTTCCTATAAACCTTCTGTGGAAACAGCCCAAAATTTTTATAAGTTATTAACTCACTTAATACCTTATGACTTACCGGCTGCCCTGGCGTCCCATACTAACACGGTAACTATACGTTTTAATATTTCTCGGCGTAAACACCACTTCCAATTTTTATTTACACAATTTGAAATATTTTACAGCAACCGACGTTGACAGAATCTTGTGTGGCCATTCAAAATACTTATGTGAAAGTTGCTCGTGAGCAGCTCGTTAAAATCAACAAAGGACAAGACACCATGGGGTTGTTCAAAGATTACGACGACACTGAGGTAATATTAAACACTTATGTTTTTTTAAAAAGTTGACTGACGTTGATCTATTCTATTTACTACTGTTAATTTATAAAAGTGTAATGGATGCAGGAATGCATTTTACTTTAAAAAAATATATCTATCGCATGAAGTATTATTATTTATTAAGATGATAGTAAGAAATGTCTACTTCAATACATTTTTTGTTTTTAGTAATTCATTTGATTGATTCAAGCAACAACAAAACTTAAATCACGATACTCATATTTGCTTTTACATTAATTTTACTTGCTAACAGTTTTAATGAGTTCTTTTATGCCTCAACAGTTAACTCATAACATACTGACAAACATTTTTTTACTCTTACTATTTGTGCCCCAACTAAAATAAAAATAAATTTTATAATAAATAAAAAAGATCAATACGCCAAGTATTATACAGTAGTGTTAAGAATAACTAAAATAATCACATGTTTTTCTTGTGAGGAATGTTAATTATTGTCATAGTCTTAGTAAAATTTAAATTGTTTTCAAGAAAACAATTTTGCTGATCGATATGTTCAATTTCACCTTTATTGGTCAAAATAATCTGCATATGATTATTTTATTTTACGAGGAAAAACCAGTTAATTAGTCAGATAACTAAAGTGCGACAAAAAGTATTGATGATATCGCTTTTTAAATAACCATTTTTCATTAATGTAATTGTATAGATTAGATAGTTAAAACTGTGTGAGTCTTTGATGATAATAAAATGTTTGATTAAATCAAAATAGAATATAATATTCTAGGCAATGTTACAAAAATTATTTTACTCTGACAAGCAACTTTACAGGTCTGGTAAAAACAAATAAGTAAAAAGCATTGGACGTGGCTATTTTATCATCTCAATCGCGATATTGGAAAACTTATACATAGTTTTGTTCAAACATCTTTTTCAGTAAAAAGTTTTTTGTTATAAAATATAATGAAAACTACTGTTTATTACAAAATATTCTGTTGCTATTTTGTTTATTAACAAATATAGAATGGCTTTTTTTTTATATAACTACTTAATGGTCATTGAAATGACTTTTCTTCTTTATTTTGCAGAACCGTCATGAAGCAGACGTAGTGAAGGTGTTGGAATCTTACAAAAAGACAGGTCAAGTAATGCGTGTTGTCTTGGAAGCTTCTGTATTCCGTAAAACATACTTTGTCAACACTTTCCTCAAAACACTAATGGATCCTCATATGCAAGACGATCAAATTAGATGTGAATTTATAGAAAAACTAAACGATATTAACAAAATTCCAAACTCTATTTACACAAAGTGGAAAAACGAGAGCCGTAGTAAATATTTCTGATAGCTGTATTCTCAGTTAGTAACACAATTAATATCTACAATAAATTCCTTTTAAATACAAATGCATATTTATAATAAATTTATCGTGTTATTTGTTTTATCATTTGTAGCCAATATTATAATTGTTATTAAAGAAGTTCCCCCAAATGGAAAATGTAATTTTGTTTACTTATGTTTATAATACACGGTGCAACTATTTTAAAGCCTTTCAAAAAACTAAAAAAGATTAGTGAGGATTGCGTTTTATTATTTGACAATTACATGTAAATGTAACTGATTTTAATAGAGATGGGAAAAAAATAACAAAACTGTGTATCAATAATTTATACATGTATTTATTGCAATATAATTACACAAACGACTTTTTTATTGTCTTCTTCTCACCACATCACAATCTCATCAAGTAATATTTATTTTAATGTCGTAGTACTTCTTAATGTAATTATCGACATGTTACTGTAGTCCAGTATAATAATATTTAATAAATATCGTTATCATTTAGAAACGTTAATAATATTTGTCGGTGCCTTAAACATTTTTGTGCACTTTTGACAATCAACGTAGCGCACGGAAGAGAAATAAATCATCTAAACACCAAAATACACGGCGCGCGAGTCGTCCTAAACAGAAAACATTTATTCGTTTATACGAAAATAAATAAATCACCCAAAAGGGTAAAACTTGTTGTACTGAAATAACTTTTATTTTAAACTTATTGTCTAAGAAATTTCACGTTTGTTATATAATTAAATTGTATTTTATGAGTTGTTTTAATTAATAGTTTTTTCGGTGGCCGAAAATTATACTAAATTAAAATAATAGTCCTTTTAGAGCCAGTCCGACACGGTGTGCTCGTGAAAACATTTGTACTTGTTTAAACTTAACATTTTTTAAGTCGGCCCTGATTACAACCAATTAATAAACCAACCGTGCCTGTATAATACTATAGACACGAAGAATTTAATTCAATGGTTAAGAATTTGTCGTGGTCCAGACGAAAAAAAAAACATTAAAAAAGGCATCATTATAAATTGATCGCAAGTGTGTCGGAGTTGATAAGTATAATATATTCTGAAATTTTCATTGCATACCCAATTATAATTATTATTACTTGCAAACTTATTGACATAGTCGGACTCGTATGATTCGAATAATTTTATTTGCGATTTATTCAAATTATTTAAAAGATTTTTTGTTTGCAATTCAAACATTGAATAATGTTATTATATAATTTTGTCACACTCTGCTTACATTTGAATGCGTTTAAGACCAAATGTGTGTGTCGATTTTTTTATAAAGCACATCCAACTCCCGTTTTAATTTTTTTTTGTTTTATTTAGCTTTTTGATTTCCGCTCAGAGTTATAACCAGGTCAGTGTGGTCACGTTGTTATACCTACCTACAGAGTGAAGCGAGAGGTGCAAGTGCACATACTATATGTATATAAACTAGTACATATACACGTTTAAGGCCTAAGTACAGTGCAGGCGTGTGTACGTGCAATGTCCCGTTTTGGTAATAAGTAAATGCCGGCTACGTCAATTTCCAACTGTATAATATATACACACACAAGTACACCTTTTAGGTACGCAATACTTATATACAACGTGAGCACCCACCCAAGTGCCTGATGAATAAGTAGCATATAATACACAGTAAAGTATAAGAAATAAAGTGTAAACCGATATTATATTTATAATATTATAATACACCAAACGCTGTTTTATAAGTTCGAATTTTATTGACAATTTTAAATTGTTTAGTTTTAAATGAATATTTATTTATGTACTAAATCATGCTAAAGGAAAATAGTTTGTAAAAAAAAGACTATGTATTGCGTAAATAAGTTAGAATATATTAATATTATTAATATATATTATAATATCATAGATTAAATATAAATATAATCTATAATATAAAGTATATTTAATATATGATTATCTATTTAGTCAGAGTTGAGATGATAAATAATAGATAATTTGACAATTAATACGGTAAAATGTTTTATTTATGTATAACATATCAGCGAATTGTCCAAAATCTCAGCGAAACCACACTTCAGCTAAGATAACTACAGGCTTGAGGTTTTGTTTTTCGAGTGTCGATTACCTAGTTTATTTATTATTTATAGACAACAAATTTTCAAACGTATTTTTAATACCAATTCTAAAAAATATTGTTTCTTTATTTAACAACAAATCAATGTTTTTTAAATATTATTTATAACTAAGAAAATTATAATTAATTTTTTTTTTTTATTATCTTAAATAATTTAAAAAATTGATTATTATTTATACATTTAAATAAATAAAATAAAAATAACTAATAAAGAAATTGGGCCAATGAATAAAAAATAATTTTATCAAAGATAATATATTATTTATCGCTTCATTTAGATGTAAAGTTATTTGAATCGAACCAAGTCATTTAATTAATAAAAAGACAATTTTCTTAAATTATGAAAAAGGTTTTAAAAAAAAATAGAACTTTCAATAGTTTATTTTTTAGATTTCAATCCATTGCGAATACATTCAATCCATTATACATACATTAATTCATACATTTAAGGCAATTTTCCATTTATTAAACTTCTTTTCATTTTTTGTACCTGTGACAGCTCAATTTCTTGTAAATCCATTGAGTATTAATTGAGTAAATCTAACTAATAGTTCTTAATTATCCCCAAAGTACTAAACAAGAATAACTCATCATTGCTGGGACTTGGCATTTGTCTAGATGTTTGACGTACATTTTATTTCTTTGGGGGGGGGGGAAGGAGGTAACCCTACCAGAAATATAAAATAAATGTAAACTTTCTCAAGTATTTTAGTCTGATTAAGAATTATTAGTCAGAATAACTACCTTTTTGGTTCTATACAACAATAAAATTGTTAAATCAATATATATTTCATATTTTTTAATATTTTAATATTTTATTATGATTTGCTTTAATAATGTCAGCGAAAAAATGTGTACATTTTATTTAGCCGTTTCAATAAAATTATATCCAACAAGATTTTATTTTAAACTCCTTATTGAAATTTGTTAGTTATTTAGCTAATAAAATTCTATGAAATTTATTTCGAGTACTTTAGGACACGTGTTCTCACCGTTCAGTTCGGTTGAAATTTGGCTTATTCGTGTTTTTAAAAATAAAAAATGTATTTTAATAAAAAATTAAAATAAGAACTACTCTACTGATTAGACAACTGAAGTATTCGACTGAAAAAGTGAGATTAGGTATATTAAGTGCAGTTTTGTTGTGTATGTATATAAATACAATTAAAAAACAAATTGCATGTTGCATAACGCAATATTATAATATAACCAGCCAAAAAAATTATCATAAGTAAACTAAAATTTCAAATAGCCTCTGAATGGGGGGACAGTTACAGTAAATAGCAGTTTCCCACCTCTATTTTACATTTGCATAATATAATCAAAAGCTTATTAAACGACACAGTTAAGTTAAAATTAAAATAAACAATTTAAAATATTTTTTAACATTCCTATAGTAAATACAAGCACAACTGTATTACTAACAAAGTAAAAATACAGTTATGATTTCTGTTATAACTCTATATAAATTATATTATAACAAGCTTTCGACAACAATAAATTAATAAAACACCTATATTTTATATCAACAAACTAACTTTTATAAATTAATAATTAAAATAATAGTAATTACATATTAATTAAAGACGTGTTGTAATAAATAATAATAGACATTATAAGCACCTCAAATCACACAACCTACCGAATATTAGGTTTTAGATTAGAAATGATTTATACAACTTGGATATAATTCTGAATACATTAAGGAAATTGCTTAATAATGGATTTTAAATTTATTAAACATAATGACAAAATATTTTGCCAGGGTAATTACAAATATCAAAATATTTGATTGTCAGAAAACTAAATAGCAATACAATTAACGCTTTAATTACCAAAAGGAATCTACCTAGGTCTAGCTGCAGGTAAAGTATTATTACAATAATGTCTATAATTTACATTTAAGTTGGATTTTCAGTATCGGATCTAGGTTCTATGAGGACTGGGTACAGTTACAATTTTTAGGGTTCCAACTATTTAGAAAATAGTTAAAATGGTTTAAAATATAATTGGCCTTGGGGTATACACTAGATAGAACCTTACCTACTTAGTACCATACTAGTAATAAGTTTTAAGGGAACAACAGTTATGTTTAATAGTAGGTACCTATAGGATTTTTTAGTGTACAATGATTTCAATTTCAATGACATAATAAATGTTATAATTATAGTAAATTTTAAAAAAAGAACTTTACGTCTTAATAATAATAATGATTATGTCTTATATTTTTTTATTACTTTTTAGAATAGTCGGTAAATAAAACAACTAAAGCCGTAGGTGTTTAAAGGAATAACATTTTGAAAAACCCTATCTTTTTTAATACAATATAGGTCATTTATATGTTTTCCCCAAGTCACAAGCGAATAGGCTTGTGTTGCATAAAATTGCTTCCTATTTGTTTTCATGTAACAATAAAAAGCAAATTATGCAAATCGTTTAATATTTGTAATGGTCAATTACTCAAATGCTCTATTTCTATATTAATTAATAATATATTTGTATTAAGGTTTTTTTAGGTTTAAAGAATGATATTATATATTTTATATATATATATGTAATTTTCTATTTATTTTTTAAAGTGTGAATACATATTAGATATTGTGTACATACAGTTGCATGCACTGCATTAATGCCCAATGAAAATTAAAAAAAAAAAAACAATAATGCCTTTTCTTTAAACATAATATATTTACCCATTAAAAAACACAATTGACAATGGACTTATTTACAATTATTTTATGTGAAACACAATTGTTACTTTTAAAAAGCATTACCTTACATTTATAAATAATTATTTTTTTTTTTAAAACTTGTTATATGCCGATTAGCGCTCTTTTATAAAAGTGCACATGTATATTTACGTTATAAATACAATGAACGGATTATAAGTCTAATTAAAAAGTAGGTTTACCTTGTCAGTAAAATAAAACAAACAATATTTTTCCAATACCTTATAATATTTATTAATACCAACTTGAACAGACATAATACCAGTGAAAGTTATTACAGTTGTTTATAGAAAAATTGTTTGCTTAAGTGTAGTAAAGGTAAGTATATATATATATATATATATATATATATATAAAATAATTCATAGCGTAAATTATAAAATAAAAATTATGATCTAGACAATTGGTATTTAAACGTAATACTTCCACACGACATTTAATTAATACTTAATAAC